AACTGCACTGCTTTCTAAAAAAACCCATCCCACCCTCAGTTCTGCAGTGTGCATCCCGGGGGGACAGAGCCCCTGGTTTACCCCTCTTTAATCAGTTCGCCTCCTGACCCCTCAACTGCTCCCTCCCTCCAATTCTTTTTATCACCTCTGATTTCGATACTGCTGTGCCCCTATGAACCCCTGAAGTGACACACAGATAAGAGCCGTGCACACAGCCTGCCAGTCACATTCCTCCAGTGCAGATAAAGCCCAGCAGCCAAAATAATCCCAGCCTGCAAAAACATAGCCATGGAGCTGGAAGGCACTTCTGGATCCAATTTAGAAGCTGAATTCCAACCCGCCCCTCAGCTGCCTTCCTTAGCAATCCACGTGTGCACACTAGCAGGGGCTGGGGGAGGCCTCGCCCTTTGTGCACTGGGCTTGCTGGATTCTAAGTACAGATATTAGATCCATTCTGCACAGCAGCAGCGGGTCTGGATTGAGGATTACTAGGGCTCATAAATCCAGAGTGGTTCTAAAGGGCCTTGAAACAAGGATCGGTTTAGGTGCAGAGGCAGATTTCTGGGGTCAGCAGCCAAAGGAACATTCAGAGATCTTTACTAATGCAAATTTCTTGTACTAAGACGAGCTCCTTAGCCAGATCTGCAATTGACACAAACAAGCAATCCTTTACTGGGATGTGAGTTCTCAATGGGGTGTTATAGAATAAGGACTGAGCAATAGAATACACAAAAGACAGCAGTGCCCAGCACCCTTGTGCGTGCGGGTATGTGACACCCCTGGGTGCCCGCAGGAAGCACCCCAGGGTGTGCAAGGAGGATGCCAGGCAGCCAGCTGAGCGACAGTAGCAATAGCAGGGTGCCCAGTTATGCTGGGCATGGGGAGCAGAGGTTCCAGCCACCCCAGCAGCACAGAACAGCCTGCAAGGGAAGCGGTGCTTTCCAGGAGGTAACTGGGGAGAGGCCTCGCTAACAGCATCTTCCAGCCGCTGGCTGAGCTGTGAGGTGGCTGAGCCAGCAGCTCCTGACATTTCTGGCCCCGTGTGCCAGGACCCAGCTTCCTGCTGGGCTGTGCAGACACCTGGCAAATTATGGGCTTCAGTGTGATTTTGGAGGGCATTTCCTTCCCTCCCTCCTGCTGGAGCCAGGAGGCCCCTCGGAGCAGGAGCCTCGGTGCCATACTCTCTCGCCAAGCTATTTCCTCTGGCCACTCCAAGGGGCGGGAGACGCCAGCATGGAGGTGACAGGAGATCTCCAGGCAGCAGGCGAGATCAACCTGAGTGGTGCCCGTTCCTATAGCCTGGCACCTACAGTCAGCACCCTCCCAGCGCCCCCTTGTGTTCCTGCAGGGAGCGGCGGAGCTGGCTCTGACAATGACGGGGATCCTCACTCAATTAGCCAAAATCCAAACGTTTCCACCCGTTCTAAGTCGCACAGAATGATTCTCCACTTCCAGACGCCACTCCTCGCACGCCAAGGGAGGCTGTCTAGAAAGAGGGCCCACCAGACCCATAGAGCACAAAACAGCTATTCTGATTGTTTCAAGCATTAGTGGATGTTTTGGATCTAACCTTCCTCCAGCTTTGGGCGCCCCAACCCAAAGCCTTGTGCTCCTCAATGAGACCCACAACACCGAACGCACCCAGCTAATTTAAAGATGAATGTTAACTCTGAAGTGTAATGATGACCTTTTATGTGTCAGCTATTTCACTGCTGATCAAAGCACACAAGAAAGGAGAGACCATCTTTGGTTTGCTGTGAGGGGCAGCTTGAGTTCTCGAGTGCCCTGGCTTGTGGGTGGAGCCTGGGCAAGCAACCCCCATACTTCTGACCCCTGAATTCAGGGAAGGAATGATTTGCTGTGCAGCCTCTCCCGTCATCCCCTTTAAGCACCTGCAGTGAGATCTGCCTAGAACAGACACTAGGGATGTAGTGCGGGGGAGTTAGAATGATGAGAAGTGAGAGAGATGAATGGGAGAGAGCGAGATCACCTGAGACCAGTGTCCAGCCTGAGACAGAGCCCCCAGGAACGGTCACTGGGTTGACACAGCAAACAGCCCAAGTCCTACTGCCCTGCACCCACCTTTTCCCTCCTGCACGGTGGGGCAGGGGAGAGCTCAGCCCAAGGGCCCATTCTTCCTGAAGAGCAAGGGGGGCAGCTCCCAAGGTGACCCATGCCAAGTGATGACTGATGGATGCACCCCAAACGCCTTTCAACAGGAGGGAGAGTCCAGCCATGCCTTCCTCACAACTCCCAATCCCCACAGATGCCTCATTCAAGGCACCCGCTAATCATTGTGCTCCCAGGGCTGCCTCCCATCCTGGCCAAGGCAGCAATGCTGTGCCCAGGAGATGCAGGGAGGGAGCAGGGAGAGCCACTGCTAGGGGACGAAGTAGGATGATCCTATGCCGCTTGTGTCAGGAGCTTCCTGACAGATGGCAGCCCTTGCTGCTGTGCTGTGCTGGCGGAAAGCTGCCAGCATGGGGGGGGAGAGGGGGCTGAGCTAGCCGCCCTCCCTTGCAACGCCAATTCACCACCCCACCCCCGGTGCCACAGCCGAGTCTGCCCTGGCTCCCCCCACGCACGACAGGCGCATCTGACCTCTCCTGGAATGGGCACTGTGCCAGGCAGTGATCAGCTGTATGTACACTGGGGGCTGCCCAGGGACACACTACCTTTCCCCTCTGCTGCAGCCAGCCCCAGTCATTGCTATCCCAGACGCGGGGCGGGTACTGACCAGCATCCAGACGCAGCCCCACGCTGGCCATCCTCCAGCCACTGAAGATGGCAGAGTCTAGCACACTCAGGCCCAAGCTCCATCCTAAGCATGGGGAGCGGAGGGAGGGGGAGATACTGTATCCATGCCAAGATTCCAAGGCCAGACAGGATCAATCTGACCTCCTGTAGGACCCGGGCTGTTCACCTTTGGACTGTGGTCCCTGCAGAGGCTGAGATTGGTGAGGCATGGTGCCAGATGCCTTGGCCTGCCTAGCACCCATGACCTAGCTCCCCAGCAGCCTGGTGTAGAGGAGCACCCAGCATGGCCTGGGAGGCCTGGCTCGGAGTGAGCAAGCGATAGAGAAATAAACTCAGACGTGTACCCAGGGGAACCCCCCACGCTCCTGCCTGACTCTCTGTCTCCAACTTCAAACAGGGGAACAAATCCTGGATCTACAGGCAAGGAGCTACAGGGTGCCCATCTGACAGCCCAGCCAGAAGGACAGGGAGGAAGCCATTACCACGGCCTGCTGGTGATGGAGCAATGGGAGCAGAGCAGATCAGCAGCCCTTGCAAGGCTAGATGGTCACCCAGGAAAGCGGAGATGTTCCTGAAACCCATGGGACCCAGCCCCATGCCCATGTATGGCCCTGCGCACCAGCGGGACAGAGCAGCAGGGTAGCAAGGAGATGGCATGGGAGGCAGGGTCTGCTCAATGGACCCAGTGTTAACTCAGAAATTGCAACTTCTCATTAGCACAGAGAGCCCAAGTGTGCAACTGACAAGCAAAGGGAAACCGACCAGCCCTGCTACAATCCCTCATTTGGGGGCAGGGCAAGAGCTCCCTAGCCCCTCCCTTCAGGGTGGATTTTTCTCCCCCGCAGATGAACTTCCTTCTCTAATTGCTGCTCTCTGTAAGGCCATAAATCCAACCTAGCGTGGGAGAGGTCACGCCAGGCTGAAGGGAGCACAGTCACCTCTGCGGTCCCGACGGCGTAGCCGTCTTCACGGCTTTTTTGGGGAGCGCTGACCCACCTAGGCCACGAACGTGCCTTTCCCAAACAGCCCACAAAAGCAGGGGTTGAGCAAACACCATGTGTGCCCCAAATCAATGCGTGTGCAGCGTTAGTGTCACGCCCAGAGTGCCGGCCCCAGAAACAGAGTGGGACACAAGTCACCGCGCGCGTCTCTGGGTGACAGGCAGACACAGTCCCACACAGAGAACAGAGCAGGGAGCTAGCGGTTTGGTTCACTTGCCCCATGGAATCTCCTTTTCTCCAAACATCCAACTCCCTGCATTTCCCAGACACCAGCACCTTCCCCCAGCTGAGTGCCCCCACTGGTGCCACTCAAGTGCAAGGGTCACCAGTGACTCGAGCAGGGGCTCCCCGACCCTGCCCAGCATTCCCAACAGAGGGGGCAAGGGGTGGGCATCATCCCTGGGCACTTCCTCCAGCACTTCCAGTCGGACTGAACTTCGTGGTCCTACATAAGCCACTCCCGGGGCGAAGGGGAGAGAAGCCAGGTAGCTGGCTCCAGGGAATGGAGGACAATCTGACTGCAGCCCGCTCCTGGAGCCCACTCTTCATCCCACACAGCCGGGCATTGCCAGGAGAGGGGAAGCGATCGCACATCTGGAGCACTAGGGGTGGGTCAGCGAAGGGGGCTGGGAGTACCGGGGCTTTCCCAGAGGGCGGCCAGCATCCGCTCATGCCCAGTGCCAGCAACGCCAAGTTTACAAGCTACCGCACGCATTTTCACTGCCTCTCGCAGCAGGGGACTCTAGACACAGGGGTGGGCTGTTGGCCTGGCTAACACCACGCCCAGAGTCTGCTCAGGTCCCTTCATGGGTTGCACCAACCATCTTCTGTGCCCCCCCAACTCCAACGGTTCAACACCAACCCAACACTCCTTCCCCTTCCTGCTCCGGCAGCTCATACCAGCTCCAGGGCCTGCCATAGGCCCCAGCCTGCTTCCTGCAGCTCCCCCAACCTTTGTCCGTCCATCAGGCAATCGCCTGCCCCTTTCCAGCTGGGGCTGATCATCCCCCACCCAGGCCCAAGCTTCCGGGCTTGGAGGGACTCTGACCCCAGGCCTGGAAAGGGGCTGGCTGCCTTGTTACAACGGGCACGTCTCACTGGGAACACCCCTCCTGGCTCGGCCAGATGCAAACCAAACCCCACACGGCACAGACCGAGCTCAGAGCCCCCCACCCCAGTAACCATCAGCAGCACGTCCCCTCACGCCACCCCCAACACCGGGACCAGGGGCCACGCTCCTACCCTGGGGAGGTGTCCAGCGTGACGGAGACAAGCGAGCTGCTGAATCGCCGTGTGTCCCACAGCTTTACCTCACGCTCCCTCATCTGCAAGAGCAGAAAGACACATGCTTACTGGTTGTGTACATGTACACATACAGACACTCACACTCACAGATGCACACACACACATGCGCATACAGACACACGTGGCCAGGTGCTGGGCTGCTTTGGAGGCTTTGCACCGGTGGCTGCTGCAGCCAGACGTGGCAATGAGGCGGCCCTAGAGGCACAGGCAGTCCAGCAGGGGACCCTGGGGGCGGCCCAGTGAGATCAAACCAGACCCCTTCCCGGCTGGGGAGCGGCTCCCCCTGCCGCAGGCCCACACGCAGACATGAGCAGCTGCCATGGAAGCTGCAGGCCAAATGGCAGCTGGCTTCGAGGAGCAGGGACTAGAGCCGGGGGGCTGCAGGGCTAGGGTTTTCATGCTGAACCCCCAGCAAGGGGACACAAGCGGGAGCCTTTTCGTGGGGTGAGACACCAGGGAACCACCCCCTGCATGGGGCTCAAAAGCAGAGAGGTCCGGACAAAAGTGAACATGGGCGACCCCAGTGCATCCTGGACGGGCACAGGGGAGCCCTGGGCTATGCTGTGGGGGGAGCAGGCAGCAAAAGCATGCAATCCTCTTTCCCTTTCTAAAAGGGACAGGCAGCCTGGGCAGGCAGTCATGCACCCCCTTCCCCCCTGAGGAGAGGGGACCCCGATAAGGTGCATTGCATCTGTACTGCATTCAGGGGAACATGCTCCCTAGACAGCGAGGGCTTTGCCTGGAGCCCTCTCCCTGCATCTGATCAGCCTTCACGTCTTCCGCGGCACATGGCAGGCTCGGCCCGCCCAGCAGGCACTGTTCCGAGAGGAATCCATCCCCATGGATTGCACTGGTAGAGAGGCATATACCCAGGGGTGAAGCCATCTTCAATGCAGCACTCAGTGGTGCCGAGGATGGGCAGTGGGGTCAGGGGGGCTGGGGGAGCTGGGAGGTGATGGAAGCCGACTCCAAGCCGTCTCTCTCGAGCCTGCCCCGGCTGCTGCTCCAGTGGGCAATGGTGAGCCTGCTCCCCTGGGCTCACTGCTCGCTTGCATGCCACAGGTTGGGGTTAACTTCTATTCCCAATGGACTTTGTCACTTTCCCTAGCTCCATCCTGCTAGCCCAGGGGTTGCAAATATGGGCATGGTGATGGGTCAGCAGCTGTTGCTCTGTGCACAGGCTGGCGGGAGCGCTCAGATCCCAGCACGCAGGCTGTACCCAGAGTAACCGCCTGATACATGGCCCTGCAAGCAAACGGCTGAGCTCACAGGCTTTTGCTTGCACTTGGCCACTGGGGACAGAGCTCAGCACTAGCTCCCCGCTCAGCACACCCTGCTCCAACGCAGCATGGTCTCGGCCACGCTAGCCCTTCCCACAAGTCTCCTCCTGGTGTGCTCCGAGCAGCGCAGCTCCACACTGTGGCATATGGCAGAAGCAGGCAGCGCAGGGGAGCTGGGCATGGTGTTGTCTAGTCCTGCTCAGAGCCCTAGTCCCCCTCAGATCTGCAGGTTCAAATCCCGGCAGGGTCACTTTGTCTCCTCATTATTCCCTGGTGGTGAGAGCTCCAGGCAGCCCCTCAGAGGGGAAATGACAAAGTGTCGGCCTGGCTGTTCTACTTTGCCGCTACCGCTGCCAGGGAACTTGTAAAGCCCAGGAGGTGGGCGCAGCGCGTTGCCAATATTGTGCTTGCTCTCGCTCCATGCAAGATGTGGTAGGCAAGCTGGCCTCCCCTATAGAACCAGCTTCCCCTCAAAAGATGTATAGCGTGACCGGCAGGACCCACGGCACCATCTGCACAAGCTCTGCAGGAACAAGGCGGCGGAAAGCCCCAGTGAAGGAACAATCCTAGCTAAGGGCACCGGGGAGAGCAGGGGGCCATACCTGGCTGAATCCTACTGAGAGGACGTAATCGCTGGTGTTCATCCAGAGCAGCCTGGAATCCTTGTTGTTTGCGTGACCCTGGATGCTCTGAAAAACACAAAGGAGACCCAATGATCACTATTTGCACAGCACCAGGGGTGTGCAGAGCTGTGCTGTACAGTGACTGAAAAGGGCACCCCTGGGTCTTTCCGGGACTCAATTTACACCCGAGTTTGATCTGCCAGCCCTGCATAATCAGGTTCGGAACCAAGAGCCGGGCCGGGTTCCTCACGTCTCGCTGAGCCCCACTAATGAAGTCTCTCCTGTGACCCTCACTGGGTTTGCACACACACCGCTGAGCTCCCCACGCAATGCTCCTGCTGCTGCATGAAGAGGACCAAGCCTCAGCTCCTTCCCCCGAGCTGGGCTGGCCGCGCGGGCCCACGGGAGACTAACGGCACAGCTGTGGGCCGGTTTCACACAGTCACTTTTCCGAGCAGCAAGTCGTTGGTCAGTCTAACTCGGGAGGATGTCCTATTCCCAGTGACAGGAGCACAGCTGGGCGCAGCGGGGCTGGGAAGCACTACAGCCCCCACTCTGCACCCTGTCATCTCTGGTCATGGTGCAGGAGATGGGGCGAGGGGAGGGGAGCACTGGCAGGAGGTTATGCCACACTGGCCGTGCAGCCCCTGCCCAGGGACATCTCCAGCCAGAGCAGTGCCGGCCAAGGTAGTGCAGCGAGGTGGGGAACAAAGGAGCTCGTTTCATCCTAGGACTCTGAAGATGGTATCTTAGCCCAAGCCCAATGCAAAGGCCTTTTCTACTCAGCCAGCCCCAACACACACTGGGCCCCAGGCATGGCCAGAAGCTACAAAACCCTGTAGGTGGGGGGGCGGGGGGATCTGAGCAAAGGCCAGGGAGTTAGGAACCCCTGCATCTCAGTCCTGACTTGCTGTGGCTTTGAGCAAAGCACAACCTCCGTGCCCCAGTTTCCCCAGTCAAATACTATTCCCCTAGCTCGCAGGACCGGCGAGGGATAATGTTTGTGTAGTGCTTTCAAGATGAAAAGCCCGAGTTAAAAAGCCTGTTTCTGCTCTGAGAAGTGACTATGTGAAACGGCCCCTCCCTGCTCGCTTGTGCACACACCAGCTCACCTGCCCATCAATGCAACCGAAAACAGCTCTGTCTGCTTTGTCCCCTGTTGGCTCTGTAGGGCCAGCCTGGCTCTGGGGGTGGGGGGTAGGAGGGGCTGGAGTCTATAGGGATGGCAGAGACAAAGCCAGCTCAGTTGGTGCATGTGGAAGGGCAGCTAGAGTGTTCCAGAGCTCTCTCCTGCCTTCCAGCCAGTACAACCTGTGCAAACCAGGGGCATGGCCTGTGCTCACAGGTCTCAGGGAAGGCTTCCTGGGGTTCCCAGGCCACGAGGAGGGCCTCTCCACGCCCTGGCAGAGACCATTTTTGTTTATTGCCAGTTGAACCCACTCGATCCAGAAGCAATCAGACGTGGACACCCTCCCTCGCCACTGCTGCTGTTTCTAAAAAGTCCCTTTCCAGAGGAAGGGCAGAGGATTAGCTCTTGTTAACCAGCTCTGGCTGGCTGCCACTCGGCAGACGGACCCCAGCTGGGCCCTGCGGTTATCCGCATTCCAGCGGGACGGATCAGCTGGTGCCCACCCCCATTACGCACCAGACGCTGGTTTCCTAGATGCTTATTGAGAAATTTCCAGTTGTAAAAAAACCCAAACCACTAATGTTTTAAGCGCGTCAGGGAAAAGCAAAGGCCCCTGCCATGGCTAAGATGGGAATGCAACTTCAGGATGCTCCAGACACCAGAAGAGCTCATTCTCTCCCCCAGAAAGCTCCCAGGACTGAACTAGCAATTAAGTAAGAGGCCGGCACAGCTCCATGTCATTACACCAAGCGGCAGCGAGCAGACGCCATTCAAATCCACCAGCCCCGCTTAGGCTGGGGCCATCATCTCTGCCAAGCTCCCCTGGCCTGGGCGTGGTCCACAGATTTGTGCAAATGCCAGTGTGGCAGGAAGTGGGGTTGGCACTCTTCCCCCTGAACTAGCTCCCGGACATGGTGTCCTGGGGCTGTGCTGCAGTGGGCCATGGTTTACTCAGATGCAAGGTAGAGGTTGCGAGTGCCGGTGCTCAGAGGAGATCCCGGGGCCGACTCTGTCTACAAGCCGCCCAGGGAATCCCAACTCAAGAAGTCCATTTGGCCTACCTGCGCTTTCAGCTGGACACAGAGCTGCCCTGGCATTAGCTCTGCTGAGAAACGGAGTGCACCTAACGCCAGCTCCGGTAGGGTTTGCAGTGCTTGGGGCACCAGCACAGAGCTGGAAATCTAGCATGATCGTCTATCCCTGCCCAGCGCAGGGCTGATAGACATGGTGTTAGAAACCTAAGTGGCACCAGCAGTTCCCTTTGCTTGGGCTCCTGATGCCGCTAGCACCGGCGTTGGCAAATGCACACGCGCCCTCTGCCTAGACACTGCAGGACGGCAAGTCAGCCCCTGGGTCGAGCACAGAGCTGGCAGCAGGAGAGCTGTGCCCTGGAACCCAAGCCCCATGAGCGGCTGCTGCTGGCCCTGCTGGCAGGAAACCAGGGAGCGGCTGGGCTCTGGGGGAAGGAGCTGCTCTCAGCTCATTCTGTTTGCAATGGAGGGGGCTGATCGCACCTTCAGTGACACGCAGAACTAGACATAGAATCATAGAATCATAGAATATCAGGGTTGGAAGGGACCCCTGAAGGTCATCTAGTCCAACCCCCTGCTTGAAGCAGGACCAATTCCCAGTTAAATCATCCCAGCCAGGGCTTTATCAAGCCTGACCTTAAAAACCTCTAAGGAAGGAGATTCTACCACCTCCCTAGGTAACGCATTCCAGTGTTTCACCACCCTCTTAGTGAAAGAGATTTTCCTAATATCCAACCTAAACCTCCCCCACTGCAACTTGAGACCATTACTCCTCGTTCTGTCATCTGCTACCATTGAGAACAGTCTAGAGCCATCCTCTTTGGAACCCCCTTTCAGGTAGTTGAAAGCAGCTATCAAATCCCCCCTCATTCTTCTCTTCTGCAGGCTAAACAATCCCAGCTCCCTCAGCCTCTCCTCATAACTCATGTGTTCTAGACCCCTAAGCATTTTTGTTGCCCTTCGCTAGACTCTCTCCAATTTATCCACATCCTTCTTGAAGTGTGGGGCCCAAAACTGGACACAGTACTCCAGATGAGGCCTCACCAATGTCGAATAGAGGGGAACGATCACGTCCCTCGATCTGCTCGCTATGCCCCTACTTATACATCCCAAAATGCCATTGGCCTTCTTGGCAACAAGGGCACACTGCTGACTCATATCCAGCTTCTCGTCCACTGTCACCCCTAGGTCCTTTTCCGCAGAACTGCTGCCTAGCCATTCGGTCCCTAGTCTGTAGCGGTGCATTGGATTCTTCCATCCTAAGTGCAGGACCCTGCACTTATCCTTATTGAACCTCATCAGATTTCTTTTGGCCCAATCCTCCAATTTGTCTAGGTCCTTCTGTATCCTATCCCTCCCCTCCAGCGTATCTACCACTCCTCTCAGTTTAGTATCATCCGCAAATTTGCTGAGAGTGCAATCCACACCATCCTCCAGATCATTTATGAAGATATTGAACAAAACCGGCCCCAGGACCGACCCTTGGGGCACTCCACTTGATACCGGCTGCCAACTAGACATGGAGCCATTGATCACTACCCGTTGAGCCCGACAATCTAGCCAGCTTTCTACCCACCTTATAGTGCATTCATCCAGCCCATACTTCCTTAACTTGCTGACAAGACACTTCCTTGGCTTTCCCTGCCACTGCCCCAGTCACCTGCAGCAGCCCATGGATTAGGTCAGGGGCTCAGTATTAGCCCGCTGGTGCATGAGGCACCTGCCAGTTTTGGAAGCCTGGTAATTGGGCCACTCATGCCCATGCGGGCACAGCAGCATCCTGCATGGCACCATGTGCCAATGCTATGGCATCGCAAGGGAAGGAAGCAGGCTAGTGACCCTCTCTGAGAGGGGATCCCATACAGGTCCTTAGATCCACTGGCACAAACAGAACAGAGATCCCACCTCTTCCCCACCCCAGAGACCACATGCAAAGCCAGTGAGCCACTCCACTCTGCGTGGCTGTACAAGGTTGGAGTGCCTGGACCAGGCGCGCACCATGGGGCAGCACGGCCAGCCAGCAAGCGTAGGGACCATGGGACTCCAGGGCTCCCTGGGGTCGGGGTGTCCTAAAGACTTACAGGCTAACACACGGCAGAGATTTTATTTCCCAAGAGAACAGCTTCTGCCTGCAAAGGCCTTCCCAACATGGCCACTGTCCCCGGGTCTCAGGGAGACCCAGGCAGCCATCACCCCATGGAGCCGCGAGCACCAGTAAGCTCACGCTGCCAACCCCTGCGCTGCCCCATGCTGGACACAGCGATCTGTCCCAGTGAGCGTGGTTGTGTCCTGGTCTCCCTCGGGTCCCACACGCAGCCCTGCAATGTGCCAGGGTGTGGTGGAAGCAGACCATGCATGTGCTGGTTTGCTCCATGGCAGTGGCCCCCGGGCCCCACGCCAAGGGAGAGCACAGCTCGTCCCACTGGGTTTGCTCCAGTGGATGCTCGGTATGGCCCTGCAGCTCCTTGCCCCGTGGGCTCTATCCAGCTCTGAGCGCTGCCCCCTCGGGCGGCTGGCATGCAGCCAACTTTAATGCTTGCCCTTTGTTCTGCAGCTGCCCCCATGGCTTCTCCCTCTCTCCTGCTGGCCCGGAGAGGCAGAGATGGGAGCAGGCCAGGACTGCAGACAGCACAGGCCTGCGGGCCCTTCCCCACGCCCAGCCAGCTCCACCTAGCCTGGCTCCCACATAGCAAGCTGGAGCCTCAGGAAGCAGGTTCTGGGGAAGGAGGAGGAGGAAGCTTGGATTGAGGGCAGGAGGGGGAAGGGGACAGGGTAGCCTGCTGCGTACCCAACCAAGGCATGGGCCATAGTGCCCGGGAGCACCCACACTCTGCCATGGTGACCGCAAAGCATGCAGCTCACTGCTGCCTGGGACGCTCAGCGGAAGCCTGCCCCCAGCCCTCACA